GCAGTTGGTTTCGATGGAGATCTAGCTGAAACAGAGATAATTTTGAAGTTTTTCTCCCTTCCGCACACTCGAGAATTGAAGAATAGTTGAACCGACTCAAAATCAATTCATTAATCCATAGATGACGATAACTACAGTTGAAGAATCAGATCCAGAGCAGATCGAGAAGTTTACAGACATTCATCCCAGAAATCCTCTTTATCTACATCCATCCGATACTCCAGGTAGCATTCTGATCCCTCAACAACTTACGGGTATTGAAAATTACACTGGTTGGAGCAATTCTATGAGAGTAGCGTTGTTAGCAAAGAATAAAATTGGGTTTATTGATGGTAAATGTCGTAAGGATCAGTACAAAGGAGATTTAGAACACGAATGGGAAAGGTGTAATGCGTTTGTATTGTCATGGATTACAAATTCAGTTTTGAAGGAGTTAGCAAATGGCCTAATGTTTTCACATAATGCACATAGTGTTTGGAAAGATCTGAAAAAGAGGTTTGATAAACGTAATCTAACTAGGATCTATCAAATTCATCGAGAAATCAGTACCCTAAGCCAGGGAACATCTACTGTTTCTGAGTATTATTCTAAGTTGAGAAATCTCTAGGATGAATATGTATCTCTGGTACCTTTACCAGCCTGTGAGTGTGATAAATACAGAGTATATGCAGAACACATGGAGAGACAAAAGCTTATGCAGTTCTTAATGGGATTAAATGACAGTTTTGCTCAGTCGAGGAGCCAAATACTTTTGACATTTCCTAGCCTAAGCCTTAATCAAGCCTACAGTATGATAATGCAAGATGAAAGCCAAAGGACACAGTCTAGTCTGATATCCAATTGTGTATTGCCTCTACAGAAATTGAACATCAATGAGCCTACTGCATTAGCTTCAACTCACCATAACAGATTCAGCCAAAGCACAGGTCAAAATACAGGTTTATACTGTGATTACTGTCACTTGAGGAATCATACAAAGGCTAATTGTTATAAGCTCATTGGATATCCTCAACATTACAAGTTCACAAAGAAGAAAGGAACTGATGATCGGAGTAATAAGGGTCAAATCTCAGGGAATGACAGATCACAGGTTTTTGGAGGTAATAGAAAGCCTCAGATCAATAATGCACAGTATGCTGAGAATTTGGATACCAATAGGAATACTGATGTTAATCCCTCATCTCTCCAAACTGTGCCCACTTTTACTTCTGATCAGTACAACCACCTATTGAAATTGCTTGAAAAGGATTGCTCATCACAAGAGACTATAGCCAATATGGCAGGTATTGCTCACACCACCTCTCCATTACATGCTTCCTATACTTGTTTTGCTACAGGTACTGATACATTTTCCTGGATTGTGGACACTGGGGCCACACATCACATGGTCTCTAGCTTAAACACTCTAATCAATCCAGTTCCTGTACATCCTGATTCTAGTAGTGTGTATCTACCTAATGGTCAATTGACTACTGTTACACATACTTGTTCTGTAAAGTTCTTTGATAACCATGACTTACATAATGTTCTGTACATTCCTCAATTCTCCTACAATCTTTTATCCATTTCAAAATTGTCAAAGGACTTGAATTTTTGTGTTTCTTTCTACCCTCAATACTGTCTTTTTCAGGACCTTTGCACTGGCAAGGTACAGTGGATTGGTAAGGAAGAAGGAGGTCTCTACACACTTCTTTCTACCACGAAACCATCACCTGTCATTGCACTCCATTCCAGTCCTTTATGCTCACCTGATTCTACTACTTGGCACTTGAGATTGGGACATGCTCCTGCTGCTGTCCTTCACAAGATTGATTGCCTCAAACCTGTTCTTCAGCATACAACTTCTTTTCATTCTGTCTGTCCTCTAGCAAGGCAAACTAAGCTTCCTTTTCCTACTAGGTCTAAGAAAACTGTTTTACCTTTTGAGCTTCTTCATATGGATGTTTGGGGACCTTATAAACAATTACTTATAATGGTCATAGATTTTTCCTTACAATCGTTGATGACTATACTAGAATGTCTTGGATTTTTTTACTGCGATATAAAAGTGAAGTTGTGACTTTCATTTCAGCCTTTATTACTCTTGTTAAAACACAATTTTCAGCAACCATTAAAACTGTGAGATCAGATAATGGTCTTGAGTTCTTCAATCACCAATGTAACAATCTTTTTACTTCCCTTGGTATAATCCATCAAAGTATATGTGTCCATACTCCCCAACAAAATGGCATAGCTAAGAGGAAACATAGACACCTCCTAGAAATGGCAAGAGCTTTAAGGTTTCAAGCTCATGTGCCTTTAAAATTTTGGGGGGAATGTGTACTCACTGCAACTTTCATCATAAACAGACTCCCTTCTACTGTTTTGAATGGTAAATCTCCTTATGAAGTGTTTCATAATCATGCTCCTAACCTCAATCACCTAAAAGTTTTTTGTTGTCTTTGTTATGCTACCAAACCTTTTGTTACTGACAAATTATCTCCCAAAGTCATTCCCTCTATCTTTATGGGTTATTCCGACACTCAAAAAGGTTATAAACTTTACAACATTACAACCAGTTCATTCTTCATCAGTACAGATGTTTCTTTTAGAGAAACTATCTTCCCCTTTAAACATCCCAAACATACTTTCCTTGATTATATACCCTCTCCCCATTTTTCTACTTTCCCTATTCCTATATCTGCATTTCCACACCCCCACTGATGATTCTTTCCCCATTACTGCACCACCAGTTCCCTAGATTACAACTTCACCTCCTACTTCTCCTTCCCCTGTGGCTCCTACTGCATTGCCTTTACCTCCAAGGAAATCTTTTAGGCCTACAAGACCACTTATATGGCATGTTGACTATGTTACCTCTTCTACAACCCCACATCCCATTTCATCTTCCCTGTCTTACTCACACATCACTCCATCTTACCACTCTCTCTTCCTTTATGTCAGAACCTACTTCTTTTGATCAGGCTGCTCAGGACAATAACTAAATTCTTGCTATGGACCAAGAAATTCAGGCCCTCAGTGATAACCACACTTGGGAAATTGTTGATTTACCTGCTAACAAAACTCCTATTGGTTGTAAATGGGTGTATAAAATTAAGTATCAAGCTGATGGCAGTATTGAAAGATATAAGTCTCGGCTTGTAGCTAAAGGCTTCACACAACAATAAGGTTTAGACTATCATGACACTTTCTCACCTGTTGTCAAAATGGTGACAGTCAGATGTGTTGTGGCTTTGGCTGCTCAGCATGGTTGGTCTCTCTTCCAAATGGATGTCTACAATGTTTTCTTACAGGGTGATTTATTTGAAGAAGTGTACACGGTCCTACCTCCAGGTTTTGGCAATCAGGGGGAGAACAACAAGGTGTGTAGACTGCTCAAATCCTTGTATGGATTGAAACAGGCCAGCAGGTAGTGGAATTTGAAACTAACTACTGCCCTTACACAATCAGGCTTCACTCAAAGTAAACTAGACTACTCCTTGTTCACCAAAACAGATGCTAATGGAGACATAGTGATAATTTTGGTATATGTGGATGATCTTTTGATTACTGGAAACAATCACAAGTTAATACAGGAAGCTAAAGACATATTGAATAATAGCTTCAAAATGAAGGATTTAGGTGAATTGAGATACTTTCTTGGCATTGAATTTGCTAGATCAAAGAGTGGAATATTGATGAATCAGAGGAGGTATGCTTTGGAGTTAATATCAGAGTGTGGCTTAGCAGGAGCAAAATCAGTTTCAACTCCTCTTGAACAAAATTAGAAACTTACAAGTTTAGAGTATGATGAACATTTTAGCCTCATAGATGATACTGAGTTGGAAGACAGAAGGGGATATCAAAGATTGATTGGAAGATTGCTATACTTGGCTATGACAAGGCCAGATATTTCTTTTGTTGTACACTTGAGTCAATTTATGCATTCTCCTAAACAATCACATTATGATGCAGCAATACATGTAGTAAGGTATATTAAGGGACAACCTGGTTTGGGTTTATTAATGAGCAGCAAGAAGTCAGACAGAATAAGTGCTTTTTGTGATGCAGATTGGGCTTCATGTGTGGTATCCAGGAAATCTGTAACAGGTTTTGGCATCAGAATAGGTGAGTCTTTAGTTTCATGGAAGTCTAAGAAACAGAATACCATCTCCAGAAGTTCAGCAGAAGCTGAATACAGAAGCATGGCAACCACTGTTGCAGAATTAGTCTGGTTACAGGGTCTGCTACAAGAAATTAAAGCTAAGTTTACACTGCCTATGGAGTTGCACTGTGATAATAAAGCAGCATTACAAATTGCTTCAAATCCCATGTATCATGAGAGGACAAAGCACATCGAAATAGATTGCCATCTTATTAGAGAACGAATACAAGAAGGGCTCATCAAGACTGAGTACATAACAAGCAGGGAGCAGATGGCAGATGTTTTTACAAAAGCCTTAGGAAAGCAATTGCATAGTAACATGTTGTTCAAGTTAGGAATGTTGGACATATTCCACCATCCAACTTGAGGGGGAGTGATAAAATGTAAATTGTAATTGTATATAATTAGCTGGATCAGTTAGTCTGTTAGATAGTTAGTTACAGGAGTAATTAAACATTGTTAGTTAGGGACTGTGTATAAATAGTGCATTGTTGATAATGAAAAGTTCAAGTCGGTTATTTTCAGTTTACACTGTTACTCTCAATTTCTCTTCTTCTCTTCTTCCTCATTTCAATATCTCCAGTAGCTAGAGGATTAGCTTTCAACAATATGTTATCCTGTGATTTAAAAATTGGAATAGTGTATAATTATTTTGGTAATAATATGCACGTGTTAGTACTTTCATTATCATCATTATCCTCGTAATTTCATTTTTCATTTTTTTAGTTTAATTTTTGCCTATAATATTGTTTTTCCGGTTTTTCTTTTAAAAGTGAAAATATTTTTAAAATTTTATCATTTACAATTTTACCACCTATATAATCAGTTGACATTTATTTTTAAAAGTATAAATCAAAGATGACCGCTAAGTGTGATTAGTTTTCCTATTTAATGGGTGTATGATTTTTTTAGTTGCCATTTAATGAATTTAATTTTAATTTCAAAATAAATATTTCAAATTTTGAATTCAATTTAATTTTAATTTCAAAATGAATGTTTCAAAATTTGAATTGAAATATAATTATAAGAGTAAAGTAGCTTCTAAAATAGATTTTTAATTTTTAATTTTAATAATAATATTGTTTTCTTATAGTGTTGACACATGATAATATATAGATAATGTTTTTAAATGGAATGAAAAGAAAAAGGTAAAAATTTGAATTTGGTTGCTACAAATAAGGTCCCATTTTTTTCTCTCTATCTATGTACAATGTGCAAAGTGTAAAAATTGTGTGGGACGTGCTTTAATTTGCTTTTCTTACCTACATGGCTATATATATATATATATATATATATATATATATATACTAGATGGGCACGTCCCGTGCTGAGCACGGTCTCAACATAATTATTTTTACATAGTTATTTTTAACAGCATACACAAAGGAATTTGTCATATGCAAACTTGAGTATAGAAACTAAATATCTCTATGGTTTAATGGAAAGTCTCTTTCAATCTAAAGTAATTATTTGTCTAAAATTGTCCATACGTATGGACTGTGATGAGGCACCATCCAATTGAAGCAGTCCATAGAATGTCACTGTTGGAGCATTTCTGCAGCACTTTGGTCTTGATCATATAGATTCTTATGATGTACATGATAAAGCACTTCTTGAACTTCACTAAGCGCATTCTCATCTGTCCTCCGAATTGAAAAGGGACATAACACCTACAATGGAAGACACGGTGAAAGTGTTTTAGGCCATATATATATATATATACACACACTTTGTCTTCTCAAAATTATCAAGGACAACTTCTTATAAGGTCATAGCTTAGCCTATCAGCTGTGCTTTTCCAAAAATACGACGACACAAGGTCTAGTGGAGTCTCTTCTTTAAAAATATATGAACTCTCTCTTTCGAATTAGGACACATCAAATACACAAAAGTAGAGAGCGCTATTATTTAATTACAATCAGCAAGTGTTACACATAGTAGCAAACTAAATACTTGAAACATATGATACAACCCTATAAAAAAAATCAAATATAAGAATACATATTACGCACCTCTCACTAATGAATATTTTTATTGCCTTTTCCTTTACCACACCCGGAACTCCAGTCATAGTCCATCTAGCTTTTCCTGCAATGTAAGCCAAATTCATGGATGAGTATTTTACACTATTAGGGACTTCAAATATCAATGATCTATATATCATTGCAGACAAAATTAAGTTTACTAAATGGAAAGAAAATGTCAAAGCTTTAGTACGACCAAGCAGAATTGGCTAGCCTACAAACATTTCAGCCATGAGGCGACCTGCACTTCAAAGATCAATATGTATTCCATAATCTATAGCACTTAGTAGAAGTTCTGAAGGTCTTTACCAAAATGTGACAACTTGACTTGACAGAGGATGCTCTTTTACAGGATTGAAGTAATTTGCGAACCTAGAATCAGTGATTTTTAGCATCCCATATTTGTCAATCAACAAAGCAAATCCCATAATATCTCGGTGCAAAATACCCTCTTGTGACACTGCTGCAACCGTGCAAGCAACTGCCACATAGAACAGTTTATATGAAACTGAAAAAATTCTTTAAAAATCAGCAAGTGTAATGACCAACAACAAACGAAAATTAATCTCGAATGATACGTCTCTTTTTCATTACAGGATCGTTGTGCATCAAATCCTCAACAGAGAATGGGGCATTCTCACTATACTCCTCTTCCATCTCTCATCCAAATAAAAAAAATATTGCTCCCGCTAAGCTCATCAGTCAATGTGAAGTCTCAAAGAAGACATGTCACATCTTGAACAAGCAAAAACCAAGGAAAAAAATAGAGAATCCCCAAAATAGAGCAAATGTCAGCTAATAGTGAATGTACTAAAGAGGGCTTTCTTTCCGGTAGTGAAAAATTCCAAGCAAAGTGAATTGCTTCCTGCAGATGGCAAGCATAAAGTAGGAGAAAAAGGAGATAATTAGGAAACTATTGTAAAACTATATCATTTTCAAATTAAGAGGAATTGAACTGAACAGTTGAAAAGATAAATTCAGCAATGGCTAATTGGCCAAAATTTCTTTCGAAGCAATAGAGATCGAAGCATACAATATTTAGCACAAAAATATCTCTTTTTTCTCCTTTAGTTCTCCTTTTTTCCTATTCTTCTCTCTTTTTTCTCCTCCTCTCTTGTAGCCACCACTTTCTCCATCAGCCACGTTCCCAGAAACACTTTCTCTACACATGTATTCTAGTAATTATCTTCATTTTCCTTCGGTAATTTTCGCCCTAAACTTAGCTTGTTTTTCAAGAAAAAAATTGTCGTAAAAATTAGCTTATGAAAGTCAACAACATACCCGATGTAATCCCACAAGTGTGGTCTGGGCAGGGTAGTGTGTACACGAGAAAATGGTCAAATGTCCCCCTAATCTATACTCGAATTTCCAACTACACACTTGAATTTCACGGGGGTCCTATCACCCCCCTAAACTGTTAAAAATTGAAATAATTACACCCCTAAAAAGTCACAACCACATTTATGTTGATAAGTGAAATGCACGCGTTTGACAGGTGTAAATTTTATTAAAAACTTTTTTTTTTTAATTTTTTCCTTATTGATTCATCATTTAAAAACTTTGTTGAAGGTTAAAAGGTCAAAATTTATAGATCTGTGTCTTTTGATCTTCTTATTTGAATTTTGTTGATTATAATGTTGATTATTAGTTGTTTGAAGCTGAAAATACTGTTTAAATGATTTCATAGCTGCAATTTTTAGTTCTAAGAACGCCGGATTTCCATGGAAATGGGTAAGCTTCAATATGATTTTTTTGAATCTATATTCTTGAATTGGAAGCAAGTGATTTCGTTGATGGTTTGAAGAATTTTGTGTGGCTGAAAATTGAAGTTCAAGGTTGAAACCGTGAAAGCACAAATTAAACCACCATTAAAGTTAGTTCAAAAGCTTGAGTTCTTATTTCGACTTGCCACAAACGATCTCCGTTTTAAGTGGGTAATATACCAAAAGAATCGAAACGGTGAGAAAAGTTTATATCTAGAATTTTGGAGTGATTTGAAGAAAAGTTGAGGTGATTTGGCATCAATTTTTTTATAGAAATTGTTCTAAAGAAGATGAAGAACTGGTTGCATTTTTAGATTTGCAAGGAAATTATCAATTGTTAAATAAGTTGAAGAATATTATTTGAAGCTAAAATTAGTAATGGCAAGATGATGAGTGACGATGAGATTTGGTGGCTGCCATTGATGATCTACTTCTAGTAGGTATGAAGAAGAAAACAAATTAGAACTAGAAACAAATACAAGATAAAGGGAGAAAAAAAAATACAGAAATTTATGAAAAAATATTAAAAGTAAAGTTTTAATTTTATTTTTTTTAATGTTCACTCTCTCAAGGAGAGTGCAATACACTCGCCATGTAGGCATTTAGGGTGATGATAATTTTAGTTTTAAACAGTTTAGGGGGGTGATAGGACTCCCGTAAAGAATAAGTGTGTAGTTGAGAATCCGGTCATAGCTTAAGGGGGCATTTGACCATTTTCTCGTGTGTACACCTTACTCCATATCTTTGGAGGTAAAGTGGTTGTTTCCAATAGACCAACATCATAAGCACTGACGGAAATATGAAGGAAACCGGCAATAAACTTATGTGTGAATCAGTTTACCAGCATCTCTTAGTGAGTATCTGTAACCCACAATCCCAAAATAACACATTCCACGCATTGCAAATAATTACAGCAGATCCTTGAAGTTCAAGAAGCTAACATGAGCAGAATACTTGAGGCATTGTAGAGATTGTGTAAGTGTTTATATTGAGTTTAAGCTCGATTCATTTGTAGATTTTGTTGAATACGTATAACTTGTTGATTGTCATTGTACTTCTTTCTAGGCAAAATGTGGTAGCTATTGTCATGGATCTTCTATTTGTAATTCCTATTTTATCCATGAATACTTATTTATATCTTCTGATCAATTATATCCACATGGTCCTGGTAATTGTAAATCTCACTTCTTTGTTATACTTTTTTGGTCTTTCTTTTGTTGTGTCTTTGTTCTTTTTAAATTTCAAATTTATATTACCTTTTCAGTAAAGTCAGCAGTTGAAGTTCTTTTTGCATCAGGGAGGCATTGTTGCTATCGCGCCCGTCTGCAAACTGATTCTACAAGCCATAACCCAGCTGCCAATCACCAAGTCCGGCCAACTCCTATGAAATTCTTGGAACTTATCGCTCATAGGATAGTTTTACCATTTTGTGGTGATTTTGTTTGTCAATGAAGTTAAATTCATAGTTGTTTGACGTTTATCCGCTTTCTAAAGATCACATAAGTTTCTCTTTTGTTGTCAAGGTGCATGATGCAGAGAAGTGGCAACTAAAGAGTTTAATTGAAAGACTTCTTAAGAGTAGAGGTATATCTATAACTGCATACTTTCATTCTATGCAGCAAGTTAATAAACGGAAGTCGTTGTTGTTGATTTTTAATACACTACTTGTAATAATAGGCTTCTACCAGAGTAATTGTACAGCAAGGGTGGTTTTTTTTTTTTTTGCTGCACAGTGAAAGTGGGAAAAGAGAAACATGACTAAAGTTGGGCTACAAATTTGCATAGACGACAAGGCATTCCCACGTCAATCGAATCCAACAAATCGACAAGTAGATGGATTTCATTAGGTATATTGTTGGTGCTGAGTACAATTAGGTATTTATAGCGACTATTGAATCAAGCATCAATAAAGTACAACTGAACATGTATCAATTACAAACATATTAATTCAAGTATTTGATTCAATCTTTAACACTTCTGAAATTTAGTAAGCTTTTGTTGTATGGCTAATTATTTTTCCCAGATGCACAATTTCCATTGAAGTAGCATCCACAACTCATAAAACATATACAGACCCAAAATACTGACTTTTAATAAATTTCAAAAAGAAAATTAATCAAAATATATTTAAGATACTATTTTAGATCTTATCTAAAGAGAAGCTACGTTTGGACCCCTTCAAATTTTTCCCTTTGAAAACATTAAAGCACAAAATACATCGAAATTTACAAAAATCCAAGTTTTTTGAGTGCTTTATTTCAGAATCCAACTGCATATCCAACTGGAAAATTAAATTGAGAAGAAGAGGAGTAAACGGCAATAACAACAACATCCAATCAAATTTAGATTCAGTGCATGCAACATTACCACAACATAAACACCAAAATTGATAAATAAAAAAAATCGGAACTCATCGAATGAAAAATCGACAAAACGAATCTAAAATCAAAAGGCAAAACAAAAATGAGAAAAAAGAAGGAAGGGAAGAAGCAGTGCATACCTAGGAAGTTATGCAATTTAACTGAGAATTTCATATGAGGGCTTGCAAAAGGCTTCCATTTTGCAGAGCACTTTTTTCTTAAAACTAAAAGGAACAGGGATATATCACGTAGCCAGGACACGTGTTACATAGATGAATATACACATAGTTAGAAAGCCATGAGTCAAATTACCAAATTAACCTATTTGTACCATTCACTTTACTTTTGGTACAACCTGTATATGATGTGTTAGTCCTATCAACTCCCACTTTGTACCATTCATTTTATTTTTGGTACAACTTGTATATGCTGTGTTAGTCCTATCAACTTCCACTTCTATATAGGAAGTAAAATAATTTGTTTTTGGTATAACTTGTATATGCTGTGTTAGTCCTATCAACTTCCACTTCTATATAGGAGTAAAATAAAGTAAAGTAAAGTAATAATATATATATATTTCAAATTTAAAATAAACTTCAATAATCATAGACTAACAAACTATATTATTTCTATTCAACGGTAAATTTTTTTTTACAAATTGTATGTAAAACATTTGCATTTTTATTTTAGAGAAAACACGACTTATAGCGAATCATGGGTGAGACAAAATAATTTTTATTCTTTTTTTCTTCTTCATGTGGGAAGTTATCAGTTTTTATTCTAAATATTTGAATTTTTTTTTTATAAAAAAATGTTGCAGTTATAAAAAATTAATTTAAGGAGTAAATAGATTATCAACTATGGTTAAAAAGTTATTGAAATTTGAGATTTTTAAAAAAGTATAAAAGATAAATGTGTGTATATATATAACCTTAAAAACATAAACTCCTAACTTGAATGGTAAATTATTATAATATCCCAAACTTTGGTTGTGACTTTTTCGATGAGTTGTGCCTTTTCTGATAAGTTATGACTTTTCTCAAAGGGTTGTGATTTTTCGATGAGTTGTGACTTTTCCAAAGAGTTGTGACTTTTTCAATAAGTTGTGACTTTTCGAAAGGGTTGTGACTTCTCGAAAAGGTCGTGACTTTTCAAATAAGACACAAAAAATAATTGTTTATACTACCCTTTGTTGATTATAAATAGAGGGGTTTCCTCTCATTTTTCAACAATTTTTTTTTAATCTACTACTCTTCTTCTTCTTACATTTTAAAAAAAATTGTGTGATTTATTATCGTTAAGTGAGTTCGAAGTTTAGCGGATTATGAGGTACCCCTATTCTGATGAAGTAAATTGTTCTCTCCTGACATGGTATATTCTTTAACCTCGAGTACTTGAGGAAAATAATTATGATGATATAATAATTAATTTTTTTGCTTAGTATATACATTAGTATGTAATGTTCCAATATATGAGGTTAACGTGATGTAGTCTAAATTAATTTGTTTTTGTTAACAATTTCTCTTATGATGTAGATATATGCTTCTAAATATCTTTTTCAGAAATTATTAAACTTCTCAAGAGCTGGAGAATTGTCATGATTTATTTTTTTGATGGTCAAGACAAAATAATGACTTTATTTATCAATGCTACTATTTAGATTGTCAGAAAGTTTGCTTCAAAATAGTTATTACTATATAAACATTGCCCTTTTGTTTTACTGATTTACTATTTCTTAATATTCAAATATTTTCGACGAAGAAAAAATTATATGACTTGTAATAACGCCTGTTGAAGTTTGTATTAGTTTAATTTTTATTGTAGTCTAAATTCATTTGTTTTTGTTAAAAATTTCTCTTGTGATGTAGATATATATTTCTGAATATCTTTTTCCAAAATGATTAAACTTCTCAAAAGTTAGAGAATTGTCACGATTTGTTTTTTATGCTCAAGACAAATGAATGAATTTATTTATCAATGCTACTTCTGTGATTTAGA